TGTGTGTGTGTGTGTGTGTGTGTGTGTGTGTGTGTGTGTGTGTGTGTGTATGAGTGTAAGGAGGCAGCAGTGTGTATTACAGCACTCCTGTAGTGTTGCTAAAAGGTTCTGTGGGAGTTTCTGCATTCTTTGTTAAACTCACTGTAGTTATATGAGGCCGAATATGAATAAAGACTAAATAATGTCAGCATCAGCATGAATCAATACTTATACAGATGCACAATCACTTGGTCTGGACCTCAGCCTATGATCAATAGTTTACTCTGAGTTATTGTCTTCATATTAACAAGTGGAGTGCTCCCTGAGGAACATGTATGAATGGCTAAATGAGACCACTCCAAACCTCTCAACAGGACCTGGTGTTGTTTTTACACCCTCCTTTGTTTGATTTCAGACAGTGCATCGCAAAAGCCTTTTTAGCCAAATTCGGATGCACTGTAGGTGTTTCCAAAACACTCAGGTCCTCATGAAACTCTAATTGCCCGCTCTTGGCTTTATGAATGTCCCTCACATAGATTCAAATATTGACCTGTGTCCCTCATGTCAGGGTTTCTGCATCTAAGATTATTCATAAATCAATTCATATTTTTATTGTGCCACATGGGGCTTTCCTATTGACTCCAGAAATGCAGAAAATGGTCAAAATAAGTCAACAAGAGCAAGGAAAAAGTTTGGAGTGCTCCATCAAGAGTAAAAGAATGTAGAGTGAATATCAGTCATCTGTGTAAGATGATGTTAAAATCAGAATCATATTACTCTTTCTGAACTGTGGCCATGTATCTCTGCTATTTCTGCATGTGTTAGATATTAGTATTAGCAGACTGTGTGTGTGTGTGTGTGTGTGTGTGTGTGTGTGTGCGCACGCATTACTGACTGAGTAATCATTGTAAATTAGAGATGTTTGTGGTTGATTTTAGTAAAGCCCCTGTAAATACTCTCTCTCACGGAAAATAACTTCCCATGACGTGGCACATGTGCCAAACTTCCACGCACACCGACGCTCACACACACCTTCATGTGCCGCACCTACCACCCTCGTTTATGTGCACATAGACCTTATTTGCAGTAAATGTAGTAAATGAACTAACCTGCATCAAGTCTCCGCCACTACTTGACAGAGCGTGAGAAAGCAGCGTGCATGATGGGTAATTGCCATGCTGCACGCAGTGTCTACAGGAGCACACTTTATGAGGTGACGGCGAGGGAAGGGAGAGGGGGATGAGAAGGAAGGATGGATGACACCGGCGTATTCCTTCCTCCCTTCAGATCATTCAGGTTTTTTTACCAAGAGTTAAAAAGTTTTCAAAACTGTGGTAGAGGTAATCAGCCTGCCTATGTCAATATTTCCTATTAGTTGCACTGAATGAAACTGATAGTAGAGAATCACATCTATTTGTGTGACCAATAATGAAAATGTCTCGGAGAAATTGTGGCATGAGTTTGTGCCTCCAGCGTTTATGTGTTTAGGGGCAATAATTGATTTCTGTGTTGTGCCCCGCAGGGCTTGTCCCACATCTCTAAACCCACACACACACACATCCAAGCACGCACACACACACACACACACACACACACACACACACACACAGCAAGGCATGCTGCAGTATTAATGAGACATGAATAAGACATGAAGAGAGACCCCCCTCTTACACGCTCACACAGGGTCTCCCCCTCCCCAGCTGCTTCCTGTCTGCAGATTACCCAGCTTTCACTGGGCTCTGGTTAAGTGGGGCCAGGAAGAGATTTAGCCCCCTCAGCAGGAGCAGACGCACACGTATATATACACTCACAAGCGCACACATACAAGCATGTGCACGCACAAACTCCCTACTGTAAGAAAAAAATCGGAAAGTATCTGTTTTATTGTGTGGTTGACTGCGATGTCTGAGGATACTACATTTAAGTTTGCTCCTCTAGCGCTGTCATCTACTGAATTAAGTTTGAACTATGAGGCACAATTTTAAATGGTGTTTGTGTATGTGAGAACATTTTTTTATAGTTTCTTTACATTGTTTTGTGTGTGGGGACTGGGAGTGATTTTGAAATTGGTGTTACCCATTTAAACATGGCTTATTATGTTATTATGCATGATTGACTTAAGTGTACTTATGTCCAGTTGTGAGGTGTGTTTGGAGCTAAATAACTGCTAAGGAGGCAGTCTAGATGCCGCGTATTATCACTGCACTAAACAGCTGATTGTATGTCGCTGCAGGTTGAGTTGTCACCTTCTATATGTTCGTGTTGCAGGCCTCAGCGACGTCTAGCCCCGGACCTGCATCTCTGGGCTCGCAGGTTCACGCTGCAGCTGTCAATGGAGATAGGAGCGCTCTCCTCAAACTCATCACAGGTAGGCAATCAGTTTCTAAACATATTACAGGTTTGATCACTACATCAACTGCATCACATGGTCAGAGCTCACAGAGCCATTAAGACACCTTAAACACACAGGGTTCAATTCACATTAATTAGTTGGAATTCTTTTTCTTTATTGATTTTCTATTTGGAACATTTCTCATCTTTTCCGTCATCTGTAGATAGGTCAGGGTGCAGGGACGGCTGCAGCAGCACTAGTAGAAATGACAGCAGAGCAGGTGGTCAGGTCAGCGTGGAAGCTGGAACCGTGGTCCATCAGCTGAACGCATGGTCCACCCTTCTGCGATTATCTGGACAGTCAGCCATGTTGATATTTAACCTTAAATATGCAGAAAACTGAGTCTTGCTCGGGCATAGAATAGAAATGTCCGGCAAAAAATATATGAACAGCATCAAATGCAAATTCTCTTGCTCTAGTCCTCCAGGTTATCAGTGTTACAGTATTTCCTTACGGCTTCCAGCTGCACCAAATAAATTAAGAAAAGTGGAAGTGGAATTCCTATTAAACTCAAGCAGTAAAAGACTGAATTTAAGTGCAAGGAGCCGCCTTTTAAAAATAGTTTTATAATGTATTCCATCACAAGTCACAAAATTGGCTGGCTTAAACTGTGCTTTATGTGTGTGTGTGTGTGTGTGTGTGTGTAGCAGAGCCGTCGCTGCGGGACCGTGAGGACCAGTTTGGCCGGACCCCTTTGATGTACTGCGTGCTGGCTGACCGACTGGATTGTGCAGAGATTCTGCTGAAGGCCGGAGCCTCTGTCAACAAGACCGACCACAGCCAGCGCACCGCTCTGCACCTTGCCGCGCAGAAGGTTTGGACATCCACAAATACACACACACACAGACATACACTGGAGCACACACAAATGTTGCACTGTAACACACGTGTCAACCCTTTTTATGGCAAAAAGTTGACAAAGTTGATTCACAAGAATTGATAAGTGGATGGATATATAGAGATGCATTGAATATGAAGACCGAGTGTGATCTCATGGAGGTTTAACGGCAAAGAGAGAAATTGAGACCATAAGCTCCAGTGGGAAGCCAGTGCCCCCTAGTGGCTGTAGTCAAGGCTTTAGGGTTTATGGGGGTGAATATCATCTGATATAAAATCCTGCCACACAAACACTGCAGCAAGGAGTTTCACTGACACAAAGTCTTATGAATAGAGAATAATTCTGCATGGAGAAGGTCCTGTTTCACTGCATTTTACCCAGCAAAACGTATGCAACAAGAGGAGATTAATGTAATTGTCACTCACACTTAAGTCTAGACTGAGGAACAGCCAGAAGAGACGATAATAATGAGACTGGGTGGTCTGTTGTCTCTTCAGGGACGTAGCTGGGGAACAGCAGGATGTGGTACTAATAATATCTCTTTACAGCTCATTTATTTATTGGTGGCTTCTTTTATGGGAATGCACTGATACAGGATCATCATATCATTGAAGAGAGAAAGGGGTTAATAGGTTATTTGGGTCTGTCCCATAGCTGGTGTGTATGTGTGTGTGTGCTAGGGGATGCTAGTGATGGGAAGCCCTGTCTCTTTGACATCTGATCAATAAACGGCTGAGACAGGGAGAGAGGCCAGGGATTACCGATCTAATTGGACTGAGAATAGAGGACAGGAACACACACACACACACACTCGCGGTCTAGATGCATGCTCACACACAAGATAGATCTGTCAGACTGTGGCGTTGTGGTCACAGGACGGCAAATATACTAAACACACTCACCCGCGTTCACGGTCATGCCCGTGTGGACACTCGCATCCTGTTGTCCAGCTGACAGCTGTTGCACAATACATCATCCGGCGGCCCGGTGGTGAGAGACTGAAACTGAGGATGATGATTTGGAGGGGAGGACAGGCAGAGAGCCGCTGTTTACTGTTTAACAGCTCATCACAGAGGCAGGAGGAGGGAAGATGGATGACCTGCGGATTGAACCAGACACAGCTAAAAGCCTGGGGAGTGCGTGTGTGTGTGTGGAAGTGTGTGCGTCATTGCTGCTCGTTCACAAATGATATTGAGGAGAATTGGTGATTTCTGAGCAAATTCTGCTTGTGTGTCGCAGGGCAACGTGCGTTTTCTGAAGCTGCTGCTGTCCAGGCGTGCTAACTGGCTGCAGAAAGATTTAGAGGAGATGACCCCGCTCCATCTGGCCACCCGACACCCATCCCAAAAAGCCCTCGCACTGCTGCTCAAACACATTGGACCTGGAGAGGTTGACACACAAGACAAGAACAAGGTACTACAGTACAAATACACACTAACAAGATGTTGGAAGACTGTTTGTCCTCAGTCAGAAACCAGCCAGTCTGGACGTCTGACCAATAACCTGCAAAGAGATAACTGACTGACTAAAGATATTTCCTTTGAAGCTTGAGTTCATACACACATAAACACTGGGAGGCACACTCGCACGGCAGTTAACAATTTAACAATCTGTGGTTTTGTCCTGAGTTCTGCTGATAAGACCACAAACACACAAACAGTCTCCTTTGTCTGTTGGGGCTGATGTGTGTCTGACATCAGTTAGTTTTGTAATAATCCAATATGCATCATCGTGTCAGATGACAGTGGTTTCAGCAAATCTCAGAATAGCTCAGTAGCCGTCATGGCTGCACTATCGGAGTTACAATCTCAGCTCACTGCTGAATCTTCAATAAGAGCTTTGTGTAGCACGAAGCCCTCATATTTCATGTCAAAGTGGAGTAATTTCTTTAACGTAAATGGAAACCTCAAACCTGATGTTACAACAGCCCCCTTTGTTTTGAACTCCATTCATCATCTCTCACTCTTTCTCTGTGCAGCAAACGGCTCTCCACTGGTCAGCGTTTTATAACCGACCAGAACACGTTCGCCTTCTGATCAAGCACGACTCCAACATCGGCATCCCGGACAGCGAGGGCAAGATCCCTCTGCACTGGGCAGCGCACAGTCAGGAGCCCAGCGCTACACAAACTGTCCGCTGTATACTGGTACACACTATTGTGCACACACACATACACACTTTAGAGAAACTGCCATCATCGTCCTTCATCCTCACCAGTCAGTCTGCATGTCTTTTCATTTTCTGTGTGTGTGTGTGTGTGTGTGTGTGTGTGTGTGTGTGTGTGTGTGTGTGTGTGTGTAGGAAGCAGCTCCCACTGAATCCCTGTTGAACTGGCAGGACTATGAGGGCCGGACGCCCCTGCACTTTGCCGTTGCAGACGGTAACGAGGCAGTGGTGGAGGTGCTGACGTCTTACGAGGGTTGTAATGTGACCGCTTATGATAACCTATTCAGAACACCGCTGCACTGGGCAGCTCTGCTCGGTGAGTGATCCTATATGTGAGCCACTGCAGCTACACACTGACATGAAGGATTTCAGGCTATGTGGGATTTGTCCCCAAAAGTTTACACTGGTTAACTGAATCAAAGCCGCATGATAAGATGATGTTTTATTTGATTTTAGCCACAATAGCAACGTGTCTCTATTGATGGCAGTGTTTGTCTGTCTGTTGGTCCACCACCAGACAGACAATATAAACATTATACCTGCTTAACATTAGCTCTGGTTAGAGATTGTGTAAATATTGACAGTTGACTTATGTTGAGTCAATATGGAGTTATTTGTTTTTCTGTTAACAGTTTGAAAAGTAGACTGAAAAAACGGGGTTAATAAGAAAAGAAAAGGGTGCCTTTGTTGGAGAGTTGAGCAGTCGTTCCAGCTCCTTACTCACATCCCTCTAATGTAAACATGGGTTTTTCAGGCCATGCCAGAATTGTCCACCTACTGTTGGAGAGAAACACATCAGGCACTATTCCCTCAGACAGCCAAGGAGCCACACCTCTGCACTATGGTGCCCAGAGCAACAACGCTGTGAGTTGTATAAACTTACACACAAAGCTGGGAACCTGCTGAGTCAGCATCATACACGTTTATCCAAAATACAACATTGTCGATAATGAAGCAAAGCCGTCTCATCCTGTATGTTCAGTATCCTTCTAATGAATAAACTAAACTACACCAAAAAAAAAGTGTCGTCTGTCCGTGTGTGTCTGCAGGAGACAGTGGGCGTGTTTCTGTCCCACCCGTCTGTGAAGGATGAACCCGATCTGGAGGGGAGGACGGCCTTCATGTGGGCCGCTGGGAAGGGCAGTGATGACGTCATCCGCACCATGCTGGCCCTCACCCCTCACATTGACATCAACATGGCCGACAAGTATGGAGGCACCGGTGAGCACCTGAGAAACAAGAGGAGCAACTAATGCTCCTCTGAACTGCTTTGACCCACGCGCCCCCACTCACACCTCTCGAGTGTGGCCTGCTGCTTGTTTTAGACTAGGGGTGATGATGTCACAGGGGATTCCCTCTAAATTGCTAAAGAGACTACGAGATTGAAGGAGAGAGGGAAGTGACACTGTCAGCGAAATTAGTGTGAGCCTGCTCAATAGACTCCCACCACTGCCAGCCCTGTCCTCTGACTGACACGCACACACACACACACACACACACACAGAACCTACTGCCACGCTCTGACCCCCGGGGCTGTTTGGACGTATAATCTCCATGGCGATAGCCCCTCTGCTCAGCCAGGCGGTCATTGTTAATGCATGCATAACATGCAACGGTTGAGTCATCCTAATGAGACGGTGCGCAGGGCAGTGGAGCCGACTGGTGCCCAGATCACTTCCATGCACTTGACTCTCGTCTGTGCTATCTGGGGACTGGGGGGGGCATGGACAGCCACCAGCCTAGTGTATTGCTCCTCATTAAATGTCTCTGTCTGTTTAACCCACCATTGACCAGGCTTTAGCCACAGCCCTGTGGAGTGGAGCTGCAGTCAAGGGTGATGCATGAACAAAGCAGAGGCAGATAAAGGAGGAGCAGTTGTCCCGAGGGTGTTTACTGTCCAGTTAGATTCAGGACCTCTTATCTCAGGATGTTTTTCTTCATGCTTCTGTGTATGTCTGGGTGTTCACACAGCGCTCCATGCGGCCTCCCTGTCAGGCCATGTGAGCACAGTGAAGCTGCTGTTGGAGAGGGGAGCGATGGTCGACTCTCTGGATGTGATGAAACACACGCCGCTGTTCCGGGCTTGCGAGATGGGACACAGAGATGTCATACTCACACTCATCAAAGGTTGGTGTAATTGGTGCATATGTGCAAGCGTCCTAATTATCTGCTTTTCTGTACCACTCTTTCCTGAGTATTCGTCTTTACCTTACCATTCAAGAGACATGAGTGTCACCTTGACTGAACTGTAAATGCAATGAATTAAAGGTTCTGCACGCGTGGACCTGGTGGACGTGGACGGTCACACCGCTCTGCACTGGGCTGCTCTGGGAGGCAATGCTGAGGTCTGTCAAATACTGATGGAGAATGGGATTAGTCCCAATGTACAGGTATGAATGCACATGCTCAAAACATTATCAAAAACAAACTACTTTACAACCCTCATTTAGTGCATAAGAAGAACTCCAGTTCAGCAAACGCTAACATGATACAACAACAGTCTGTTAGAGCAAACCTGACCGTTTAGTCGGACAATCGCTATGATAGACAGCTTTAGCATCATGTTAGCTTTGGCTACACTGTGGAGGGCTTTCTATCCACTGAACAAGGATTGTAGCTTTGTCCCGCATTAAATCCGACAAAAAAACAGTTGGACAGCTGAAGCGGCATGTTTAGTATGAATCCAAAAATACATTTTGAAAAGATGTCTTTCTCTGCACTGCTTTAAGAGCTGCGAGTATAAAATCAGGATCAACCTCATGAATCCTGAGCGACTCTTTAAACTGTTCTGCATCTGACTGTTAATGATCTGAGCTCTCCTGGGCAGGACCAGGCGGGACGGACTCCTCTGCAGTGCGCTGCTTATGGCGGCTACATCACCTGCATGGCTGTTCTCATGGAGACCAATGCTGATTCAAACATACAGGACAAGGAGGTAAAAAAAAAATCTACTCCCTGTCATGTGAGCTATGTTGAGCTTTTGAACACGACTGTATTTTAAATGGGTGCTCTTTATATGGGTGCACAGGGGCGGACTGCTCTCCACTGGTCTTGTAACAATGGCTACCTGGACGCTGTGAAACTGCTGCTGGGCTACAATGCCTTTCCTAATCACATGGAGCACACTGAAGAGAGGTGAGGACCCAGCCCGTCCAGAGGAAGGAGAGGGGGAAGTAGAAGTGGGGAAATGAATGAATGACACTGGTGTTCGTTTTGTACAGGTACACCCCTCTGGACTACGCTCTGCTGGGGGGGCACAGCGAGGTGACTCAGTTCATGCTGGAGCACGGAGCTCTGTCCATAGCAGCGATCCAGGACATCGCCGCTGCCTCCATCCAGGCCGTCTACAAGGGCTACACCGTCCGCAAGACCTTCAGGGAGAGAAAGCAGCTGCTCATGAGGCATGAGCAGCTGCGCAAGGACGCAGCGAAGTGAGAGATGAGCACAGACACGAACACACTTCCATATCAGTGTTAGTAGACACACAGAACCACACATGCACTGAAGCCTTAGTTGTTTCTATTTCTTCATGATTTTCGTAATTGTTGTACGACTCTCATAAACATCCCTCTCTTTGTCACACAATACCTTTTGCGTGTGACATTTGCATGCATAGTGTTCATCACTCACTATCTGTCTCTTTCTTCTTCTTCTTCTTCTTCTTCTTCTTCTTCTTCTTCTTCTTCTTCTTCTTCTTCTTCTTCTCGCTTAGATAGGAACAGTCACACTCGGTCCATATCTATCTTTCTCTCTGTCATCCCTGCACACACATATGTCTTCCCGCTGTCTCTTTCTCTTCTGGCTTGTTCTTATTTTGTCATTTGCTCACCGGTCTCAATTTAATCCGTCTTACACGACGCTTATGATCGGCAACATTTCTCGTTATTTCAAGCAGGCGGTTTTATTGAGTTGTACTTTATGAGATGTTTTTCTTATAAAGTACTCAAAATGTCTTGTGTTTTTATCAGATTGTTTTTCTGATTATTAACCAAGCTTTGACCAAACTTTTTATTGCTCCACAAGTTAAAATCCCTTTGCATCAAAAAGTTGCAATTTTGCTTGTGTGAACTGATCAATGTTCATACTTGATGGTGAAATAGTGCAGCTAAAATATGTCATTTGATCATGTGTCCATTTTGAGTGCACACAGAATATATAATGAAATAAATCAGTGTCACCATAGCCCACAAATTCCTTTTGAAACAAATGTCCACACTGGTAGAGTAGATATCTGCACACTTAAAGCTATGCAGAGAACACTTTGTTTTTAGCTTTCGGTCTAAAGGACCTTCATCAGAGCATATACGTATATATACACATGCTTCCTGTCTGCACTTTGGCTGTTCATGTGGTGCGTTTCAGACAAAACTCTTAGCCACGCTTACATATCCAACCGCTTCTCTTTGTGTGTAGGAAACGAGAGGAAGAACAGCGGAGGAGAAAAGCTGTGCAGCAAGTCTCTGTGTCCACTGCGGAGAAACGGAGGGTCCCTGTGGTGAGAACAGAGCAGGAAAAGCTCTCCTTAGTGAACATATTAGAGGACTTATCCATCAATGACCCCGTAGTGAAAACATCCAAAGCTGAACGCACTAAGAGCAAAGAGGAGAGACTCAAAGGTACAAATGTGCAGAAATTCTTAAAACTGCTATAATGGAACTTGTACTTTGAGTGGGTTGACAGTTATGATATAGTTTTGGTATTAGAGGCTAAAATGAACTTTTGACCGAGACATTTTATTTGTTTTTCATCCCTAATTCAGAGTGTATTGCTCATTTACACAAGGTGTCATGTTGATTGTATATTTATATATACTTTCTCCCACCAGCCCACAAGAGCAGGTCCTCCAGAAGAAGTAAAGCAGCTGAAACACATGAGGTTCCTGATGCTTCGATCAGCCACTGTCATGTGACCGGTGGAAGTGTCCGCGGTGCTCTCCAGACCACCAGGCTGAAGGAACTTCTCTCTCCCATCAGCTGCAGCCAGCCACCCGGCCTCAAACCTGGACCCCCCTCCATGCCCAAAGCCAGGGAACGACCTTCCTCAAACTCCTGCATTCCCTCCACATGTGTTGCGGTGACAGACAAACCTGACACTACTACCAGAGAATGCGTCCCTCTGAAGAAGAGAGACGCTCACGTGACTGTGCAGACTGCCCCCAGTGAGACTGATGCTCTCACCGCCCCACAAAAGCACAGAGACCATAAGGAGCGGACTTCAGAAAAGGCCGCCGCCAAAGACGTCACGTACATTCCCTCGTTAAGAAGCAGTTCATCTTTAGACCACAAAAGCCCCTTGAGAAAGACTCAGTCCGCCACACATGCACCCATCTGGACACGCACGCACAGGGAACACAACAAAGAGCAGCGCGGGAGGAGGAACGAGGCCGCACGCATCATCCAGCGAGCTTGGCGAAGGTGAGTTTACGGGACTTGTGTTTGTACCCCGAGGGGTGTTCAGTAGCTGAAGCCTCTCTGGCTGTGGGTGCTAGGCGGTGCCATGTGCTGCCCACATGTGCCCTCTCTCCCACATACATGCCAACCCGTTCTCATCTCCCCTGTAACCCCCCCTTCATTGTTGGTCTGGATGCCATCAACATCAACACTTGAGCAGTTAGGGGGAGAGCGTGGGAGATGGGTGAGACAAGGAGGCAGGGGACAGACGAGCTATAATCTAGAGCTCTCATACTGGTTTAACGAGAGGCTAACAGTTCAGCCGTGCTGCTCTTAATCGCTACCAGCAGCCGCTCTTTGCTTTTCTCTTGCTCTTACACACTCTGTGTTCCTCTTAGAGGTTGCCAGTCCGCCACAGGAGGTCCTCTGTTTCCATTCAGCTTCACAATTATATTCTCTATGTGCTGCCTATTAACTGCCTTAAATATATTTTGTTTACTTAGTTTATGCTTAGTGAGTTTTAATGTTAGGACTTGCCAGCTTTTAAGCCTTTGAACACAGTCTGACTTTTTTTTTAATTTTTTTTTTTTACCCTTGCATGGATGTGTGTGTGCAGGTTCCACACACGCACACGGAGAGAGGTACAGGCCCCCGAGCAGGCGGAGTCAAATGATTCAAACCACGCCCACAACAGGAAGAAAATGGAAGCGAGTAAAAGCTCAGTGCTACAAAGCATCTATGGTAAGGTCATTGCTTTTTGCCTCGTACACACAAAAATGCGATGACACAGATTAAATGGGCCATTCATATACTCTATATATGATATATATCTGTTCAGCAGAGCAATTACAGACCCTTAACAGTCCTTGAGAGCCGTACTGCAGTTTGTATATCTGGTGGTGTAATTCATCAGAGTGATGGCACTCTGTTTGGAAATGGAGAAGTCATTATTCTAACATAGTGCGTCACTGTTTCCATGGGCTGTACAAGTTCACAGGTCAAAACTGAACGAACGTGAACTCAGAGCTGTGACTCCGTCAGACCCGGCTGGAGCCGACATCCAAATAGGAAAAACATTCCTGAATTTATCCGTCACATGAGCTTCAATTGAAGTGAATGGGAGGAGCGAATATGCATTTAAGAATAAGTCTTGTCATATTCTCAATTTTTAATTATGGACAACGTTTATTGAATAAACTCATGACAATGAATTCATCCTTTTTTTTTTTTTTTTTACCAAATCTGTTTTTGAGACCCATTTGGAAAGATTTATCTCCAGCGAATGGTCTTTGAGCTGAGTGCCGCAGATCAAAACATAAAACAAGCTACAAGTCACCAAGAAAACATATTAATATTTATGACGAGATCACTTCAGACATGCAAGAGGATTCTTCAATTGTACTGCAGCAGAATAAAATAACTGAGGATCAAATTTGTGACCACAAATGATAAAAAAAAAAACATTAAAATACAGGCTCTAATGAGGTTTGAACTCATGACCCCTGGTTTACAAGACCAGTGCTCTGCCACTGAGCTATAGAGCCTATGTCAACATACTACTGTCAGATCAGCATCATAAGGACAACACCCTGAATAACCATAGCTTTGGGTCTGACTCAATCAACCAGTTACAGGAGTGTCCTGAGCTTTGTTATGCAGCACCAGCTGAATGCATCAACTGTTCACATGATGCAACTGCAAATCTAAATGATGATATCCAAACATTTTCCTTTACCGTCCTAGGTAACTCTAAATGAGGGCGTTCACAGGATAAGGACGTTGGAAAGCATTTGGAGATGGACTAATGACTGTGGCCTCAGGTCTTTTCATGGGATTTATAATGAATATCGCCAGCTTTAGCCTTAAATATCTGTGAATCACTTGCTGTATTGCTCTCTAGGCTGAAACTTTCAAGCATGCCGTATGTCAGAGATGTCAAAGCCTGTATTGGTTAGGTTGTGAGCAGCATTCTCTTAAGTTGCAACCAAATGAAAGCAGTGCAACAACAGCAGCTCTCTAACCCACATGTGCAAAAGCGTACCTCTTGGTTACAAGATCATACAAAATCCCACATTGGAAAAAGAAGAAGCTGGAGATCAGGATGGTTGTCATACCGGTGTAGAACACAGGGCGCCATGTAACTGTCTGTGTGATGCTTCAATCTACACTCTGGGACAGTATCAGCCTGGTGTCCCTGTGAGAAACCTCTGGTCGGGTTTCGCTCCGCAGACAGGCCTGACCTTCATCACACATCACCAGGTGATGATGGGAGAACGGGCAGGAACCTCGCTGCGCCAAAACATACACGGCGTCACCGCTCACAGACAGACAGACAGACGGAGCCCTCTGACGTGGTTTTCCCCTCCCCCTTTCTCACCTCACCTCCCATCCCTCTCTCTCTCTCTCTCTCTCTCCCTCTCTCTCTCTCTCTCTCTCCCCTTTTCGCTCTCTGACAGTCCTGGCACTGTGAAAAGTTCAGAGCTGTCAGGGGGAATGTCAGACGACTGCGTCGAGCCATCAGCTGTACGCACACACACAAAACCCGACACACACACACACACACACACACACACACACACACGACTCATTCTCAGACTCGCACTTCTTTTTTTCTAATTTGTTTTACTGAGAAGTCAGGCATTTGACACAACTCTGGACTGGGTCACACTGCTCCGTTAATCATCATTTCTTGGATGCCTGTTAATTATTTTATCTCAAATGTAGATAACAAAACTACATGTGTGCAAGCTTGATTTAAGAAATGCTATACCTCTGCACAGCAGTGCAAACATTGCATGTTAAGAGGAGACACTACAAGTGAATAGGTTGAAAAATTTAACAAATTAATATCACCATGAAACATAAATCTTAACATTGAAAAGTTTGGTTAATGGAGGTGCTACGGCTCAGAGGGAGAGACTAAAAACTGTTGAACAATATATACCACCATGAAACTTCCTCAGTTGATTACATTACCTTTTCTTACTATAAGTTTTCTGAAATATTATGTTTAAATATGCAAATGAGGCTTAATCTAACGCTAACTTTTGGCGAATTTAGGTGAAATCTACAAATGCAAATAGCCAAAGTAGTAAATTAAACAAATAAATGTATATTTTGGATGTTTTCTTTCCACTGAGCTGAAAGAAGGCGGCATGGAATGAAATTGCCCAAAATTTCATAATTTATCAGTCCAAAAATTGTGTTTTTGCCTGTAGTGTCTCCCCTTAAAAACACAACATGTCGGTGTTTCCATTGAGCTGCTACAACACTAGACAATAACAGATAAACTACCTCTTCCCTGTGTTCGTCTTCAGTCTGTGAAATGCCGTGCCATAAAAACACTGTATTTAAGTTTTATTATAATTTAAGTGATTATTTGTGACTACTAGTTATTTAAAAACATAATTAAGGCTCCAATGAGGTTTGAACTCATGACCCCTGGTTTACAAGACCAGTGCTCTGCCACTGAGCTATAGAGCCTTTGATACTACAGTGGTTTCAGATCAGCATCATAAAGACAACATCCTGAACAACCACAGCTTTGGGTCTGACTTGATCAACCAGTTACAGGAGTGTCCTGAGGTTTCTTATGCAGCACCAGCTGCTTGAATGCATAAACTGTTCACATGATGCAACAATATACTATTCTAACGAATGCAAACATTTTCCTTAACTGTCCTGAAGGCAACTCTATGGCCAGACGAGGGCGTTCTCTCCGGGGCTCTCAGTCTCAGCTGCTGCTGGACATGTCTTTACGCACACAGAGCCAGTGTAAGTCCACGCACAGCCACAAACACGCAGCTTTAATAAAGTCAAAAGTCTCTCAAGTCATTTTCTGTGCTTATTTTACAGTGAGCGGTATTGACTGTGTGCACCTGACTGATGCTGTAAATCAAGCCAAGCAGTACTCTTACCACTTGAGACCACATAGTGCTGGACAGGGGACCAGAGGCCGGGGGAAACACTGAACCGGAAACACTGAACCGAACCCACCCACCCACACACACACACACCCACACACACACACACAATGTTCTTTGATGTTTTCTCAGCTGGCTGGCGGCCTTACCTCTATAGAATTACTTCACACATTGTTCGCTCGATGTGCCACACTTTCTAAAATTAAGCCATATGACATCAGAGCCATGACCTCACAGGGTGGGGTTAAGTCTACAGAAACGGTGTGTGTAAAAGATAACCTTTCATCCATTGTGGAAGGAACACATACACACGCCGTATCCCTCGTTCTCCATCGCTCTCGCACACACACTGAGATAACCTTTCCTCCTGTTCTGGAGAATGAGGCAGTCTATCAACAGCCGGTCATACAGATAGCCCACCTGCAGCCGTGGACACACACAGTTACTCTCCACACAACAGTCTGCTCTCTAAGTGCTTTCCATCTCAAGAGAAAGATGTATTTCTGAACTATGCAGTTTGTATTTACTTAAATATGCCTTTGCACAAAAATAATCCATTCATCTTGTGTAATATTAAATTTAGCTGAATGTTGTTTTTGTTTTTTTTATTGCCTTATAAGAAATATAATAAAAATAGACCCAAAACTCAGCGCACTTGGATTTAAGTTTATTATCGCTTTTTTTCCAACCCTTTTCGTTTTTTTTGTATCAAAAAGCGGCCAGGTACACTGGACAACATTCTGCAACTTTCCCCCGAAAAGGCAAAAGAAGGACAAACGATTACCAGGCTAAGAATGATGCAATAAAGCAGCTCAAGACACTAAAAGAACCAGAGCTGCTAAAACAAGAATGTTAAGAATTCATTGTCACTCGTAATAAACAAACATGTCAATCGACTGTATTCCTGTCTGAGAGTTGCGTCGTACGTACGTCGTCGCTTTTGTGCTGTGTGAGTGTTTTGTTTGTCAGAGTCACTGTGAGATGTTTGAGAGGGTGAACTGGGAAACACACCAGGTGGCGGTCAGTAAATGTCTCGAAGGCCCAGGTTTCCACGGCGAGCGGAGGAGCCGTGAGCCACGGAGACGGTATAACAGTAGAGCAGGTCCGTCAGCCATTGCTCCCTGGTCGCTCCCCGGGAATACCTCTGAAACACATACAGAGAGACGTTAGCATCCTTAAGCTCTCCATCGAAAATTGTTGTCTTTAACTCGATCTCAGCGAATTTTCAAGCGGGAGCCGTGTCTACCGTGAGCTGTTGTATGATCTCCTGCAGCAGAGCGGAGTTGGCCAGCAGCTGGTTCTGGATCGGCGTGTGCTGCAGCAGCAGCGACAGGATCTGTCCCAGCTGTGGCCGCTCCTCTCCACTCAGATCTCCAACGCGCATTGACTGCAGAACCATTCGAAGCAGGCGAGGAACAGAGCTCAACGCCGACACACAGGCACCCCATATTGCCTCCCTGAAAAATATGACACAGAGGTGTTTTAAATCCCGTTGTCGTGTGGCTTCATCGCCTAATAATGGCAAACTGCTACTATTAAGGTCAAGATTTCCTATCAACAGGAAGTCTCGTTGTAGTCATTCAACACACACACCTCTTGTGGTTGGTTTCGGCCGGTACCTCCTGCTCCAGGGTGATGAGCAGAGCCAGCAGGCTGAGGCAGCACTGAGACAGGAAGCGCAGCATGGGCTCGATGGGCAGGACGGACAGGTCCAGTAATCTGGAGACAGCTCTGAGCAGCCCGGCCGCCATACTGTCAGGCACCACCGCTAACTTGGTCTGACACGCAGAACAGGGTGATCATTCAGACAACAGCGGTAAAGCACACAACTACGCAAACAACTGTGATTGAGAATTCTTAAAAAGTTGTTTCCTGCTTAATGAACACAGTTTCTTACCAGGTATTTGCAAATGCCATTTTGTAGGATGTCAAAGCACTGAGACTTTGAACCCAGAGTTTCCAGACAGTGGCAGACTTCCTGTGAATGAAACAAAACATCATTTCATATTAAACAAGCTTTTTCCAGAGAATTCCTTCAGTGATAAACTGCTTACAAGTGTGATAGAGATTTCTAATTTTAGCAATGCAACCACAAGGCTTTGGGCTTTCAGTTGGAGATTTGAATGGTTTTCTGGTCAGAGTTTTTGCCTTTAACTTAATGCAGGGACTATAAAAGTGCGTTTCTAAAAAATCCCAGAGAAAGAACTGCACTAAGGCTTATTTTTTTAGGACTACTGAAGCTGTGATGTAAAGACTTAGATCAAAGAACAAGTTATGCCAAAAACACGTCACAATTCTAGGGAAACTGTTCTCATAGTTTCATGGAGTATCTGATACATTGAACCAAAACACTCCACATTCCCAGATGTGTAATGTCAGGTAATAAGAGCTGTTCTTAGTAGAAAAACAATGGCAGCATTGTGAAACAAAAATAGCAGTAATGACATTATGGAGAAACGATTTAAGAGGAAATTAAGGAAAAACAGCTCCAACTTGCATTTGTCAGACAAACCACATCATTGCTGTAAATAGACATTTCTACATCTGTCTGAATAAGGAAAGGCCTTTACTTCATCGTTACCAAAGTAAAGATTCACTAAACAGCATCTACATTTCACTCTCACTGGGAGGGAGACGAGAAGCTGCCACAAACTTTTTTACAAGTGAAAAATAAGGCAACGCTTTTCCTCATTAACTTTAAATCCAAATCAAATTCTCATTAGCTTTTTATCAAATTGCGTGCCGAAATGCAGGAGTGCGTTGCAAGCCAGCGTGTGTCAGAACGGAGCACCTGTTGGCATTCTCGCCGTCATTAAAAACAATCCCGTCTCATTAGTCGAACCAGAGTTGACACGGTCCGTCCCTTAATGCCCCCCCCCCCATCACCACGAGTCCCCTCCTGCCTCCTTACCATCACTTGCCTGTGATTGACTCAGACAGGGAGATGAGAGAGGCAGGATCTGAGGGCTTAATTGAGGAGCTGAATTAGTGATTATAAGCCCCCCCACTTGCGCTCTCTCTCTCTCACACACTCACACACACACACACACACTTGCCCCAGGGCATAGTAATGTTAACTGTAATTTCCTGTGCAAAAATGTCACACTCCCATCATGCCATGGGCTCTCATTAGCATTTGTGCATATGCGCTATGCCCGATAACCACGCATCTCCAACCTGCGCAACGCGATAAAGGTTCCCCTCTCAGCCGTAGTGCCACGATAAAGCTTCCACCCTCTGAGCTCTATACGACAGACGGAGAGGGACCAGGGGACACTGAAAAGACCACAGCTGTGTCCAGAATATCAACACGTTTCAATTTTCAAAACAATGTCTCTTCCTCTTCCTTCACCTTCCAAGTCCCTTCTAGGTTTATTTTCAAAGTTGTGTCTGCATCTTTCTGATTGGCAGTGGCCTTGGTAAAAACTTATAAGGTATGTGAGGTTTGGGGTGATTATGAGTGTGCAGTGAACGCACCTCGACAACATCCCAGTGGTGTGTGAACTGCTCCAGCGGCGTGGGGTAGAGGCTGAGAGGTGAGAGAGGGGAGGGAGGAAGGGCGTCGCCGGCCTCCTGCAGGGAGGCCAGCTTGTCCGACGAGAATCCCGTCAGGGTGGAAAACAAGAAGCTGATGTAGTCCACGTCCTGCAGAGCCGCTTCCTGGCTCCCAACCGACCAGCCGCTCAAAGATGACCTACGCAACACAATCGGTGAACACGGTGGACAATTATCGACTCGAAATCTGCGTCTTTCTGAGCGCCAAAACATTTTAACAGCTTGTAGTTTCTGAAACTCTTTCAAAATATTACTTTTTGGACACACCACTTAATTTCAAAATAACAATTTCCTGGTTATACATTTCTTATCATTATTCATGACGCCCTGTTTTTTTTCAAAGCATCATACTGAGAATAATAGAGCATAGAAATAAAAGTTCCTTGTCCCGAGGGGAGGATAGATCTGTAACAGTAAAAAATGTGAGTGAATAACAAGTGTGTTTTGTGAAGCCCGGGAGGCACATGCAGACTGAACCGTCTCCTCGATACTCCATGACGACTCTGCATTCCAGCCTCCCAAAGAGCTCTTTGTATCAGACCCATTACACACATCCCATCTGAAGTCAGCTCCCTTCCCTCTAAATTTGTACAACACTGGCACTCGCAGAACGCCAGACACACAAATGCAGGCAGATACACGCACTGTACCAAGGAAAGGTGTGTAACAGAATATTAAAATATAGAAACGGCTTTTATTGTCACCAGTAAGTTGAATATTGTAAATATACAGGGCATCCACATCAGCACCTGTCAACAGGTCTGGGATCAATCTGTGAAAGCGCAACACTGCCACCTGAGGGTGACAGGAGAAAGTGCGCCGAGTGTCCAACACTATTTACCGATACTGAACTATTTGAAAATGTTTTCTCCTAAACAGGAGTGTCTCCTCACACACATATGGCAATAAATTGAGTTCATGTGGCCTCTACAGGTGTGTTGGGTTTTCCAAGCTCACCGAAGGTGTACGATACGAATCAGAGAGGCAGTGAGGCCGGCAGAGATTCGTCCAGCGGTGCAGCAGTGGCTCAGGTTGGCCAGGAGAGACGGGGACATCTTGGGCAGAAAGTAGAGCAGTTGCACCATTCGTTGCTGGGACTCTACTGGTAAAAGCACCATAACTCCTTCCTGTGGATCTTCACACACACACACACACACACACACACACACACACACACACACACAC